CAATTTGTTTAAACATATTCAGTAAACCTGCTCCATGCATGAAATTAAATTTTACGCTTTCTCTGTTTTCAACAGTTACCGTTTGTATACATTTATCAAATTCTCTAATTATGAAATGGTCGCCCGTGGTTATGAAATCGGATTTTTCAGACGATAAGGTCTTTAACTCTAAGAGTCTATTATTTAACTTGGCACGAAACCTGTGAGAAGGTAAACGAAAGATATTAGTTAAATTATTGTAGACTTTCGAGTGAATCAATAACTCCAGTGCTTTCTAGTTATATATCAAACTATTATATTTAATAAAGTCCATCTCCTGTGATTCTGTGCACGCACTGTCGGCTATTCTTCTCGTAATATCTCCCTTTATTGTTCTCTCGTGAATTATTCCGAATGAACAATCAACAATTGTATAATGTAACAAGAAAGACAAATAAATTAAATACAGTTGGTTTTGTATTTTAATTAATTATCTATCAATTCGCGTTTTAATTATTTTTTTCTTGAAAAGAAAACGCCAGGGGATAGTTGGTCAAAATATCGATAATTATGAACAGATTTTTTTCCATTGTGATAGCGAACGTTAAATAGAGAATTTATTATTGAAATTAGAGTGTTCCCACTGATACAATGGAAAAAAGAGTTAAATATTTAATGTAATAATTTTACAATAAATTGATAGTTTGCATCATATAATATGATATATAACCTGATAATTTGAAACTTTCAGTCAATGGATCTTTCTCAATTATCCAATTTTATACATTTTAGTACTGTAATATTTCCCAGCATGTTAACTTTATTTTTCACAGCGTAATCGCTTTTACAAAATGTATAGATTGATGGATATATTAATGTTTAATGTTCAGTGACAAATATTACATGCATATTAGGTTGAGAACATTATTATATCATATTTATACGAATACTGCTTTGTTCTCGACCGAAACACTTATATAAAAATAAGGAAATGTGGGATGATTGCCAATGAGACAACTATGTTAAAATGAAGTTGATATAAGCAATTATAGGCAACTGTACGACCTCCAACAATGAGAACAACCATACTGTATAGTCGGCTATAAAAGGCCTCGACATGAAAAATATCAAATAATTCAACTGAGAAGTCTAACGGCCTAATTTATGATAAAACAATTTTACGAAAAACAAAAATGGCCAACATAAACCAACGATAACCACTGAACTACAGGCTCCTGAATTGGGACAGACACGTAAAGAATGTGGCAGGGTTAAACAACGTTGAAGGCGCCAACCCTCCCCTAACCTGGGACAATTGTGTAAAGCAAAACACAAGAACAAACTATAGATATATAGAATGAACGAAAAACAAATATGAGTAACAGCAATAAACGACAACCACTTAATTACAGGCTGCTGACTTGGGACAGGCACATATAGAATGTGGCGGGTTAAACATGTTTGAAGGCGCCACCCCCCCCCCCCCCCCCTAAATCCTGGGACAGTGGTGTAACAATACAACATTAGAACAAACTATAAAAATAAGTTGAAAAGGGCTTAACTCATCAGATCGATACTAAGCAGAAAAAAAAACTTATAACAAAAACACAGACCGGACGTGGCAGGGAATTTATTCATCCCTCATAACAAAAAAGACACATAGTACATATCTGAGAGCACTCGCAAGTAATCACAGCTAGTTCAAAGCCAGTAACAACTAATTAAATAATCATGTAAGTGGCATATACACGTGCCTGTTCACAAATTAACAGTCAACAGAAAGACATATTACTCTACCCGGATATATTATTCTGTCTCCGAAACGACCAGTTTTTTCGCTTAGTAGTACTCCTAATTAACATATGCTTAGTGGATGAGCAGCAATTTCCAATTTTCTAGTTCCTGGTTTAACCGGTCGAGGATTGAATCCACAACCTTCCGCACTTCACTACCACGAGACCACTGATGTAGCATCGCTTTTCAAAGAGCGTACCAATGCATAGATTATAAAAGCGATATTTCTGACCACTCAGTTTGACTAAACACATTTTGAATAAGTAAACACTTTGGAATTTTCACCATTATTGTCACGACTTGATGACCATAACTTAACTCATTTCACAAAAAACTTGTTCGAGTAAATGAACATTTTAGTATAACTTACGATCAATTTTAGTCGTAAGATTTTTTGTAAAAGGAGCCCCTGTGTCTCAAAGATGACTGAAGACATATTTGTTTATTAAACTATTATGTCCCCCTTACAAATATGATTTGACCCGTTACTGAATATAATAATTACTTGCTTCGATAGACAATACGACCTATGTCGTTTCAGGAACAGAATACTATCACTCTACCAAAGCACCTGACACCATTATCGGTTTTTAATGAATATGAATAAATTACTGCTTTAGTAACCATCAATACAACAACAAACCAATAACCATCAATATAACAGCAAACCAATAACCATCAATACAACAGCAAACCAATAACCATCAATACAACAACAAACCAATAACCATCAATATAACAGCAAACCAATAACCATCAATACAACAGCAAACCAATAACCATCAATACAACAACAAACCAATAACCATTAATATAACACCAAACCAATAACCATCAGTACAACAACAAACAAATAACCATCAATACAACAACAAACCAATAACCATCAATACAACAACAAACCAATAACCATCAATACAACAACAAACCAATAACCATCAATACAACAGCAAACCAATAACCATCAATACAACAACAAACCAATAACCATCAATACAACAACAAACCAATAACCATCAATATAACAGCATACCAATAACCATCAATACAACAACAAACCAATAACCATCAATACAACAACAAACCAATAACCATCAATACAACAACAAACCAATAACCATCATTACAACAGCAAACCAATAACACAAGTGAGCATCTAATGATCAACATATTCGTTTTGCCTTCACTGAAGTTTACAAAGTTGTTTGCTTTTAACATATTGTTTTTAGACTGATTGTGTTTGTCCATGTGGTTTTGAGGCGTTCCAATCTTGTATGTAACTACTCACACTTTTTTCATCAGTATAATGTCACGGGTGCGACTAGTGGACCAGGAGATGCTGACTCATACGGAGCAACTAATTTAACCCTCGGTTTTGGACTGGTGTTGATGTTGTTCAGATCATATATTTCAGACTGGTACTTTGATTTTCCTGTTTAAACATATGTCAAATATTTCTCTATATATGTGTGTTTATCCATTTATTGTCTTAGTCAAAGTTTTACTCTCTTTTATATTTGTGTGTTTATCAAGTGATTTGTCATGTCAGGGTCTTTTTGGCTGACTATGTGGTATGGGTTTTTCTCATTGTTGAAGGCCTCACGGTGACCCGTGGTTCCTTACATGCACGTTATTTGTATCTGGTTGTCTCATTGGTAAATCATACCACATCTCCTTACTTTTATATTGACATTAATCAAAGTCTCCATTATTGTCAAAGATAAAAAAAAATACAAGTAGATTGGAAAAAATAAATACATCGACATAAAGGAAAAGAAATATAGAAATATTAGATATGTTTCAAAGATCAGATGAACTAGATATGTATAATAAAAAAATAAATAGAAATGAAATGTAAAAAAGAAAAGACGTAGAAATACATATGTATGAAAAAAGAAATAGAAATACATGTGTATAAAAAGAGAAAAAAAACCAACATATATGTGTCAGTAAAAAAGAAAAGAAAAGAAATAGAATTACATAATTATGTATAAAATAAAAGATAAGCAATAGAAGTAGAAGGAATGAAAAAAATGAGACATTAAAGTAGAAGGAAAGAAAAAATGAGACATTAAAATAGAAGGAAAGAAAAAATGAGACATTATAAAGTAGAAGGAAAGAAAAAATGTGACATTATAAAGTAGAAGGAAAGAAAAAATGAGACACTAAAGTAGAAGGAAAGAAAAAACGAGACATTAAAGTAGAAGGAAAGAAAAAATGAGACATTAAAGTAGAAGGAAAGAAAAAATGAGACATTTAAGTAGAAGGAAAGAAAAAATAGACATTAAAGTAGAAGGAAAGAAAAAATAGACATTAAAGTAGAAGGAAAGAAAAAATGAGACATTAAAGTAGAAGGAAAGAAAAAAAAAGACATTAAAGTAGAAGGAAAGAAAAATGAGACATTAAAGTAGAAGGAAAGAAAAAAATGAGACATTAAAGTAGAAGGAAAGAAAAAATAGACATTAAAGTAGAAGGAAAGAAAAAATGAGACATTAAAGTAGAAGGAAAGAAAAAATGAGACATTAAAGTAGAAGGAAAGAAAAAAAAAGACATTAAAGTAGAAGGAAAGAAAAATGAGACATTAAAGTAGAAGGAAAGAAAAAAATAGACATTAAAGTAGAAGGAAAGAAAAAATAGACATTAAAGTAGAAGGAAAGAAAAAATGAGACATTAAAGTAGAAGGAAAGAAAAAAAAAGACATTGAAGTAGAAGGAAAGAAAAAATGAGACATTGAAGTAGAAGGAAAGAAAAAACGAGACATTAAAGTAGAAGGAAAGAAAAAATGAGACATTAAAGTAGAAGGAAAGAAAAAATGAGACTTTAAAGTAGAAGGAAAGAAAAAATAGACATTAAAGTAGAAGGAAAGAAAAAATAGACATTAAAGTAGAAGGAAAGAAAAAATGAGACATTAAAGTAGAAGGAAAGAAAAAATAGACATTAAAGTAGAAGGAAAGAAAAAAAAAGACATTAAAGTAGAAGGAAAGAAAAAATAGACATTAAAGTAGAAGGAAAGAAAAAATGAGACATTAAAGTAGAAGGAAAGAAAAAAAAAGACATTACAGTAGAAGGAAAGAAAAATGAGACATTAAAGTAGAAGGAAAGAAAAAATGAGACATTAAAGTAGAAGGAAAGAAAAAATAGACATTAAAGTAGAAGGAAAAAAAAAATAGACATTAAAGTAGAAGGAAAGAAAAAATGAGACATTAAAGGAGAAGGAAAGAAAAAAAAAAGACATTAAAGTAGAAGGAAAGAAAAATGAGACATTAAAGTAGAAGGAAAGAAAAATGAGACATTGAAGTAGAAGGAAAGAAAAAATGAGACATTAAAGTAGAAGGAAAGAAAAAATGAGACATTAAAGTAGAAGGAAAGAAAAAATGAGACATTAAAGTAGAAGGAATGAAAAAAATGAGACATTAAAGTAGAAGGAAAGAAAAAATGAGACATAAAAGTAGAAGGAAAGAAATAATGAGACATTAAAGTAGAAGGAAAGAAAAAATAAGACATTAAAGTAGAAGGAAAGAAGGAAAGAAAAAATGAGACATTAAAGTAGAAGGAAAGAAAAATGAGACATTAAAGTAGAAGGAAAGAAAAAATGAGACATTAAAGTAGAAAATAATTAAGATAATACATAAAGTTAGAATAAAATAATTTACTTAATGAAAATGTTATTTTACTACGATATATATTATAATATTATTGGATTTACTTTAAAAAGGAGTCAGCTTTATTTTCAATGCTTTTTAACAGTTTCTCATGCTGTTTTAAACAGAATTAAAATCGTTATGCATATTACGCTAAATTTCACTAATTTTCCACACGATTTAAGCAATTGCATTTCAGTAGGCTCATAAGAGGCATGTATAAATCATTAAATAACTCATCTACATAATACTATAAATACTAATTGATGAAACTGTTTTCATACGAAGTAATGAAAATCAATGAGTTTGTAGAATTGTTAAAACCCAGTTGTGTAAATAATGATGCCATTATTGTAGCGGGAGTTTTATAATACAAATTAAGGTATTGAGTATGCTACACTGTCTAATATAATAGCAAATATCAATATCAAAATTTGACAGCATCAATAGAGGCAAATTCATTTGTGTTATGTGAACAGGATTTAATTCTGATGACATGATGCTGTATTCTAGTGAGGAATCTTGTCTATATCAAAGCAGCTTAAGTTTGATTAGGAATGTAAGTTATTATTTATTCACTTTCAAATTGTTACTTTTATTTACTCTTTCAATTAGAAGAAATACGACATCCGTTATTTGCCTTGTACAGACTATTTTATGGTGAGTAACGTGCATACTGATTAGATTTATGCAAAACAGTATAGTGATATACTAACTGGGTTATCCATTATAAGTTTAAGTCGCAAAGGAAAAGATTGGCACTAAGCAATAACAAAGACGAAATGACAAACAAAGTTTATAATAAATTTCGCATAAAACTGAAGATTAAACTATGTCCATATCTTGACCATTATAAAATAAAGAGATGTGGTATGTTTGCCAATGAGATAACTATCCAACAGATTATTAATCAAGGGGATTTATCCACTTCATTTGATTTTTGGTGGATAATTGTCTCATTGACAATCATACCACATTCTCCTTATATTTATTAAGCAACTATAGGTCACTGTAAGTCCTTTAACAATGAGCAAATACCATACCGTATAATCAGTTATTAAAGGACCGACATGACAAAATGTCTTTTTCGTTGTCAGTTTTCTTTGTTGGTATACTAGTATTTATTTTTACGGAGAGGTTGTCGATTGGTGTCGAATATTTAGTTAGTTAATTCCTGTTATCCTTTTGACGTATCATTTAATATCCGGGTACGTTAGAATTATTTACTGCGTGTATATGGAATATCATACGTATTATTTTTTACACAGTTAACAATAATTTCTCTTTCTTTTTTGTTTTTTTTTACAGGAGGTACTTAACAAAACAACATGGCGATCAGAATACAGACAAATAGCTTTGCTGCTATTGCGATCCAAGTAATGATGAATGTATGGTTAATTTCAAGTGTTCTGTCCAATTGCCAGTTTCCTGATTTTATAAATCACCAAGATGTTTGGACTAGAAAAAATAGTGAAGGCGCTACCTTAACTGCGTACATCAAACCGCACATGATAACAGCTAAGTACTGTCCGTATGTTGGATCTGCTTGTCAGCATTATGTCCAACACTGTGTGGAAAAACGAGACAACAACAAGTACATTGTAAAACACGAAATTCGGTCGACTGGATACTCTCCCACTCATTATCTCTGTATACAGTTTATCTTCCGGTCTCCTACAGTGTTACAGATGAAAGAATCAGAAAAGATGGATAAACCTTCTAAGGAATTATGTAATAATATAGTTTTGAACAACTGGCCTCTGTTTTCAACTTCACTCGGAACAGCCCCACCAATTACTTGTCCTTTCTCAGGCGGGTACAATATGCGCATTAGCTCAAATGGTCATGAGCTGTGTTCGAATAAAATGCTCAGTCCAAGAATAGAGAGTGAATGCGAGGCAGGAGACGGAATCTCAGTTGACTTCAAACACAAAGAGTGTATCCATGAAAATTTAAAAAGCATGAGAATGAATCTAAGACAGCATATTGACTGCATGGCCACGTGGACGGAACGTAATTACCAGTTTATCATTTTGCGACCGGATTCAGATCATGCTCTTTGTTTACGCATTAAGAAACCTCTAGATAACATCAGACATGCATATCTTTTTATGGATCTAGTCTGTGATCCTGGAAACTCTGTAGGTCAGCCTGAGGACTCTCGAAATTTTCTGTCCATTGAGTTTGAAAGGAAATATATCCATTCAGTATGTGAAAACGAATTTGAAGGTTGTTCGGATGAACGATTTTGCGACACTGATATGAGAGCACATTGTAAACTCACATGTGGGCCATGTCGCTCTGACGAAATATGTGCATTTCCAGAATACCTCCGACGTGTTTGGAGTATTTACGACCGGAAATATGCCCAGACTAATAAAATGCGGTATGTGAACATTACTAATTATGAAATAGATTTCCCGGATGTTGGTAAGTTTCAGTGTTTGTACAACAATGTTACTGCTAAACATCGATCCATTTTATTACACACGTTTGATAACGGTTGTTATCCAAAGTTCACATGCATGGAAACATATTACTCATCTGATACCGTTCGTCAGTTTAGACTTGGAAGGCGCATTAACTGGCCAGTACTCGACTTGTCACGTGTAAAGAGTCAAGCATGTAAATCTATAATGTTTAAGAAAGATTACCAAATTGGTGATAGCAGCGAAAAATTTAAAATTCCAAAAATTACGGTAATCGATGCAAGTTATACTAAGAGTCAAAACTGTAAACTTGACTACGAGTTCCGTAATCACCTCAATGGACTTTACTTCCAAGAAGGGGATAAATGTGATGGTTGTGTGTACTATGACAGTATAACCAATCCGCATTATTTTGAGGTGAGAACCATAAACTGTCCAAATACGTTGGATTATTTAGAATATATCTGTTTGGCATCATTTAAATTTGATAACGAGACTTCCGCCGTAGTGACTGGTACCCGGATCAGACGTTCAGATACATTCAGACAATTTTTATGTTGGGTTTTTACTGGGAGCGGTGAAAAGAGAAAAATTGTTGTTTTTGATGCTGCCGATTGCAATGAAGTTCAGTTACAATTATCGTTAGCTGGGGATGTAATTCCAAAAAGTATGTTTGATGTAATGGAAAAACCACCAAAACTGTGTCCTCGTCCCATAGATGACCAACCTCGAGAGATACCTATCATACCAATAAAAACGAGTTCGGTAACGCCAACCCCTGTCAAAAAGAAGCCCCAGGACGAGTACAAATTATCAACCGGTTTTAACAAAGGACCCCTGATTCCAAATAAGCCTGTTGTTACAGATCGACAGAATGCAGACTCATCCTCATCTTTACCACAGCCACTAGAACTCACTATCATTTGCTTATTCGTGCTGTTACGAACTTTATGCACTACATAAAGATACACCACAAGAAGAAAGTGGTAATATTATGTGGATTAAGAAAATGTTGACGAATTCATGAAGTTCGCATATATAAATGTGTTCTAAATTTGTTTATTGTGAACAACATGCCAGAGAGTACCAATCGCATTATGTTGTTTTAATCACAGATCTAATCTACACATAACGTTAGATGAAGGCAGTTTTGTTGTGCGCAAGTGTCTGATAAGGGGTATTTCAAGTGTGAACTATTTGCACATTGATATTCCAGTTAACACAAGTGGATGTAAGAGGAAAGAACATTTTGATAAAGGGATTGTGTACATATATGGAAAACCTTTAGTATAATTGTACTTACAGAATCCTAGTCATCGCTTGCCATTTTTAAACATTTGAATGCAAGACATAAGGTTATCGACTTCGTATGTGGACTTTTTACTTGCTCAAATAGGATCTCGTTAGTTAACCGTAGTGTCTTTGTAGTCATTTTCTGTCATATTTAAGTCTCCCAAACGAAGTTTGGGAAGACTTATTGTTTTTGCTCAGTTCTTATTATTATTATTATTATTATTCTTCTTCTTCTTCTTCTTCTTCTTCTTCTTCTTCTTCTTCCGCCGCTTTTAAATTTGAACTTGTCCGCACCCGTTCTCCAAAACCGCTTGTCAGATTAACTTAGGGTTTCACAATATGTTAGACTAACATGTCTAGTGGTGCAATCAGGGTTTTGTTTGTGCAATGGGGTTTATAAAGGGGTACTTTGAGGGGCAAAAAGAAAAGAGGGTTTTGCTATAGAACCCTATGGGATTTTATTTTTTTAAATTTTCAAATGATTATCAATTGAAAACCGTTCGTGATAGACACAATCTTTTTAATTGAAAATGTTCTAAATGATAAAGTCCATTAAATGAAATACAGGGTTAGTCCCCAGGGGTCACCCCCACCCCCTGCTATTTAAGAAAGTTCTAATACCTTGTAAGTGGTCAAGATCCCCACCCCTAAACCATATATATTCTGGTTTGTCATGCTAAGATGGTTTGAATGATATACAGGATTAGTCCCCAGGGGTCATCCCGACCCCCTGCCATTTGAGAAAGTTCTAATATCTTGTAAATGGTCGAGATCCCCACCCCTAAACTATATATATTCTGTTTTGTCATGATAAAGCACATCAAATGTAATACAGGGTTAGTCCCCAGGGGTCACCCCCACCCCCTGCCATTTAAGAAAGTTCTAATATCTTGTAAATGGTCGAGATCCCCACCCCTAAACCATATATATTCTGGTTTGTCATGATAAAGCACATCAAATGTTATACAGGGTTAGTCCCCAGGGGTCACCCCCACCCCCTGCCATTTAAGAAAGTTCTAATATCTTCTAAGTGGTCAAGATCCCCACCCCTAAACCATATATATTCTGGTTTGTCATGCTAAGATGGTTTGAATGATATACAGGATTAGTCCCCAGGGGTCATCCTGACCCCCTGCCATTTGAGAAAGTTCTAATATCTTGTAAATGGTCGAGATCCCCACCCCTAAACCATATATATTCTGGTTTGTCATGATAAAGCACATCAAATGTTATACAGGGTTAGTCCCCAGGGGTCACCCCCACCCCCTGCCATTTAAGAAAGTTCTAATATCTTCTAAGTGGTCAAGATCCCCACTCCTAAACCATATATATTCTGGTTTGTCATGCTTAGATGGTTTGAATGATATACAGGGTTAGTCCCCAGGGGTCATCCCGACCCCCTGCCATTTGAGAAAGTTCTAATATCTTGTAAATGGTCGAGATCCCCACCCCTAAACCATATATATTCCTATTTGTCATGTCTCGAACATTTGAATGACGTATACGGTCCGTCCCCAGGGGTTCCCCCCACCCCCAATGTTCTAATATCTTGTAAATGGTTGAGATCCCCACCCCTAAACCATATATATTCCTGTTCGTCATGTAATGAAAATTTGAATGACGTATAGGGCCAGTCCCCAGGGGTTCCTCCCCACCCCAATGTTCTAGTATCTTGTAAATGGTCGAGATCCCCACCCCTAAACCATATATATTCTGGTTTGTCATGCCAAGATGATTTGAATGATATACAAGGTTAGTCCCCAGGCATCACTAATGCATATAACTTTACTGGACCAAACCAATTTTCACTGGACGTTGCCCAATGTTAGGCGACCCTGGGAATTACGAATTATGGGAGCTTCGTTTGGGAGACTTCGTAACAGCATCCTGTTACAATCATTTCTTGTTATTTCATGAAATCCTTTGAGCCTTAGAAATATACATTTTATTGCAGTTCGACAAGAGAAATTAATGTACACATATGATACAAGAATATCCAGTTTCAAAACATATTTGCACACATTTCTGTTCGGCTTATTTCGGAAATAGGTCATACAATTACGTATCAGATTTGGTACATTGAATAGAATAAGGTTGAATATCAAGTTTCCTTAGCGTTTGTATTTTATAATAAGAGCTGTATTTAACCTTATCATTTATTCAAACAGATCCACCATTATATCGCAACAAGGTCGAAATTTTAAAGCAACTTATATATTGTAACCTTGTGGATGTCATCGGCAAGGAAAAAACTGAAATTTGTTTGGTAATTGTTATGAGGTATCAAATGAAATGCATATTGTCTTTTGAATAATGAAAATAACACTTTATAATTTAATTTTGGATGTAACGCGTCTTCCGATTGGCTGACGTTGTTTTGTTTATCAGCTCATAGACATAATTTTGTCATTTGACCTTGACGTCATCAACGGTTTTTCATGATTTACTCCGGTTTGAAATGGAATTAAGAATTGAATTATAAGAAATGACTGTAATATTTTTCTGTCTATTCGAAATAACATAAAAAATGTGGCGCACACTTTAAAATAACCCGCTACGCGGGTTATTCAGTGTGCACCACATTTTTGATGTTATTTCTTCATAGACAGAAATAATATTACAGTCATTCCTTAAATAAATGTGGTGCGTCCGAAGCTCTTTTCTAAATTTACCTTCAGCAGGATCAAAGTAGTCCTTTATTGGTCGAGATAACTAATAAATTATAACATAATGTTCCGAGGTTTGGTGGTTATGACCTTGTTGGTCTCGTGGTAGCACGATGGCATCGAAAATGAGTTCCGGGGGCTTAGTGCATAGTTATATCAGATGAATATTACAAGACTGATTTACTGCTTGCCTTCTAAGGTGTATGCCCGGTTTGGTTGAAATGTCTTTATATGGTCTGATACCTTGTGGTTTGGCAGGTATGAGTTATTACGGAAAGCAGTATATTCATGTCCTCGTCCTGAACATGCATATTTGCAGTGAACGTTGAGCAAACCACGGTTTTTTAATTCAAAAGAATTTCAATACATTTACTGGGAACGACATTTGCTTTGAACATCAGATTGAATTTAATGTTTTTAACTTACCTTAATTATACTTTTTAGCTGAGCCACAAAATGGTAAACGTAAATTACAATACTATACATTTTGTAGTTACATATATGTTTAGATTTGTCATTTTTGTACAGGACTAAATTTCATTTTGTATGACATTGATTCATTTTATAGTATATTATTTTTAAAGACAAATGAAGGTTTTCTTTGTTGTTAAGTAAAAGTTTTCAAATTTTAATATTGTTATTTGTATATAAACTTTTCGTTACACCTATTCATTTCATGAAATTTTTTTCCATTGTTGCTCAATGTAAATAATTTAATATATTGTAAATAGTCGTATTTTTATACTTCATAGAATAGCAAAAATATTTCAATTACTGAATATATCATTTTGAAGAGATATGCTTCGCACAGTTATTGTCTTATTTTACTTTTTTGTGTTTTTTGAAAGACTAAAGGTGGTACCCAACACCTTGACTAATATTAATTTGGCTCGTTTTAATTTTCATAAAATTTAGACAAAATGTTTACTTTGACCCTTTGACAAAAATATAAAAATTTCAAAAAATTTCAACCAACAACTTTATCAGAAAAATTTCATTGGTTATATAGCAGTTTGACAAACACTAATTTTGATCATTGAGAAGCTTAATATTTCCTTAACAATACAACGTGATTAAAACGTCTAGCTGATTTTTACAGAGTTATCTCCCTGTAGTGTTAGGTACCACCTTAAACACACTTGGATGTATTGTTTTGACCATACGGAAACGTTACACAGTTACACAGTAAAAAGCATTTGACCAATCACAAATTTTGACCTTTTTATTTCAACAAAATCCATTAAAATAATCACTTTTGATACACAAGACACTTTGCATAGAAATCAGACATTCAAAAGCAAACCATTTCAAATATTTTTAGATCTTTTCCTTTGTACATATGAATTATAAAAAAATATATTTGCATCATTATCACATGAGCATTATAATAAACGGTAACTTCTTCAATGGTCCAACATTTGTGCTACGAAAATCACAGAATATCTATCCCTTTCATTGAAAATTTTGAAGATTTTCTCAAAATATAAAAAAAAAAGACTCCTAAAGATTAGTGGTTACTCCAGTTTGTTTACCGTCATCAGATATTAATTTAAACGGAAACAGATTAACGAATGGTCTGCGTTCTATGTCAGGAAGTGACCGATATTGATGCATGTTAAATAGTTTTTTGTTTGTGATTAAGATATTTCTAATACACTAAAGCCCTGTTGTCACTATCAAAGTTTCCCTTTCAAAGATTTGGAATAAGAAAATTTGGTCAAAGTCATCTGTTGTAACTATAAAAAATTTTCACCAAAAACTCGGTCAAAGAAAAAGCCGAATTACAATACACACACAAAGAAAATTCCTCTAATATCATCACAGAATGACTGCATTGCACTTTCAATGTGTATTCTGTTTATTACCAATCGGATAAAATGAATTAGAAATCATCCAAGAGTGAGAAACTGCTAAGAAAAAGACAGAAAAGTACCCTCTCCTTCAAAAACTTCATAGTGAGGAACCAGTCGAATTCAAGAATTCAAGAATAATTTAAGAATGGACAAAGCATTCAATCTACTTCTTTGAAAAGTTGAACCACTGATCGAAATAAATTTAATGAACTCATCCATCATTTCATTTCTCTCATAGCAATCTTCCTTAGTCTAACTCGAACTAATCCTGCTTTTCCTTCAAATTTTACCATTTCTAAATTGCACTATCATTGGATAATTCCCGTCAAAGGTCATCCAAGGTTCAATAAAAAGAATGAGATTCAATTCCATCAAAATCCTTCAAATTTATTTATCAAACGTTTTTTTTTACGGTTGTCACTTTCAAAATTCCTTCAAAAACTTGGTGTAAGTGGCAATAGGCCTTTATGTCTATTGAAATTTTCTATTTCGTTTTGTATCATAATAGATAATTTACTTTTGATGGTTCCTTGTCCATTTCATATTAACATATTTGAAATTAGCCAAACATCAAACAAATCATTTCATCATTCATATATTTTTTAACATTTTGTTTTGTTATATTTTTGCCACATTGTATCATTTCAATCTGAAGATTGTTTAGGTGTTGTACAGTAATGATTCCAAAAAACATATGTCTGGTATTTCACACTCTTATTGAATCTAGTACATGTGAATTCAACTTTTTCTTTAATTCATTCGAAATTGATAAAGTCTGTCATTAAAGATGACTGTCTAAAAGAGAGCGTGTTTAAAGAAACTGTTCGTGACAAAAAAGACATAGTGTTTATCAGTCATTCTATGTAATTTGTACTTTTATTGTTTTCCGTATTCTCTACGGTTGGATTTAATTTCATTACCGACATTGTGTTTTTTAATTTACCCTCAGTCTGTGTGTACTACAGCTGTGGTTGTCGTTTCTGCTTGTAAATTGTTTAATACTGAAATTAAAAGCTTACAGAACAAAGTATAAAAACAAAAATATACATATGGCATATTTTTGTTAAGGCCTGGGCTGATATGCATAAAACTACCTATGTTGAGATTTGTTCCGAACGGAAGGATTTTTCTACATGTCCTACGATAAATTAGTACTACGATGGGATATCTTAACTTAAGTGGTTTTATGCAAATCAGCCCTGATAAGAAAACTCTTCTGTTGTCCTATTCTGTTTTTCAGCTTTTTGCTATGTTCATAAGAAATTAGTCATAAAAAAAGTATGGAAAGCAAAGATGTGTTGTTTCAGAAAAAAATATTCTAACAATCCAACTATCCTTTTCCACAAAACATTGTTCATTTATCATTGCTAAAACACTGAATCGCCTGATAAAACTATGCGCTTTTTACAGAGTCTATAGCGTGCATGCAGTATCATTCGAAAGTACAACTAACCCATTCTTGGGCATTTGTTGATGTGCTATATTAATAAAAATGTTTATATTACTTTTTGAATCCTTGTGTTTATATATAATATATAGTATACTTATCATAACTTACATTGTAACTATTGTTTACAATGTGTATTTGCAATTGACATTTATTATTAAACTGTTTTGAATAAAGATCATTGAGACTAAACTGAAAGTTAATTAATATATTGTAACAGTGAATAGTTTTACACCGTATCTTGTGATCCAGTGACTGTTTCAAGTTTTTGTCGGTTGATAGCTCTATTTCACATCCCACTCACATGAAAAAGGATAGTCTAATTCACTTTCAGTTGCATAGAAAAGTGGATATTTTTACATAATTCAAGAATAATGTCATGTTTTTGCAGTCACATTAAACATTGCATAACTAAACCTTAGATGTATACACACTACAACATATGGTGTTTTATTTACAATTCTTCATTTGGTGAATTTGATAGGCTCTCCTAACTCAAAATGGAAATCATCACGGTCGGGGGTAATTAATTGAAGTTGGAAAGTCCATGTTAAAAAAGGAACGAGGACAATAAGACATCATCTAACAAAGAATCGTTTTGTCTGTGTTGACATGGGTTTTATCAATGACTGTGACATGGTCATAATTATAAATTAACTGTTTACAAAACTTTGAATGTTTTGAAATAATAATGATTTTCTACCACAGGAATAGATAACCTTAGTTGTGAAAAAGACAACCCAAAGTAATACAGATCTACATACAAAAAAGCATTTCTGAATTTTGGGTCTTCAAAGTTCTTCAACTTCGTACTTTGTTTGGCCTTTTTAATATTGACTAGAACACACCCGCGAAATCGCGGTCATTTAGAGCATGGTTGAAAGTATGTAAACTGTTGTAGGAGGAACTTTTGTAAAAGATTTTATGACTGGAGAATTTCAGGAAATGTATCAAAAGTCATCAATGTACTTTGGGACACTATAGTATTTTTTTTAGCCCTCCCCTTTTTTCCAAAGTCCGTTATTTTTTGTTTTCTGTTAATTTCAATTATGTTCGCGTTTTTCTGTATACTATATAAATGAACATACACATACTATAAATAAAGTGTATTTGCTATTTACTATCAATTCCAAGTTTACTATCCACGGTGGTCACTGTTATATCATATATGGACTCTCTATATAATATACCAGTGACCGTAAACTTGGAATTCATAGTAAATAGCAAATACACTTTATTTATATTATATGTATGAGCATAGTATACAGAAAAACGCGAAAATAATTATCCTTAATTTGATTGTATTTTGTTTAACGATATAAGCATATTCACGGTGTATATTGTTGGAATAACCTTAATCATATATAAAGCTGTCAACTAAATAAAACATTATAAGTTAACGCATTGCTGTATAATATTTTAGCACATGCAGTGCATATTATTTCTTAAGTATGAATAAAAGGAGATATATAAGGAGGGTATACATCAGCAACCTAAACGCAAAAGATAACCAAAGGATGGTAAAATACAGTGTTAAACAATAGACAGCTGTCTATACAATATTTCAAACGCTTTTTGTTTTGTTTGTTTTCAATGACACTCTCTGTCAGTTTTTATTCATTTTAATAAACGGATAAAAAAAATACTCGGTAAGTATAGTTTCAGGTTGGTCTTTACCTAAACGCTGTAGTTAATAAAAAAATTTGCTCGTGGATAGAACTATAGCCAATCTCAAATCAATGATTAGTATACTTATAGATTTAGAAATTGGTCGGTACCGCTGGTGGTGGACTATCAGTCCCCGAGGGTATCATCAGCTCAGAAGCTAGTACTTCGGTACTGACATGATATATGACGAACCTTTCTTAAATTGTCCGTTTATATATTTAGAAATTATTAAGAAACTAAGGTTTCATCTCCCCCAGGCAACGTTGACCTTAGTAGGATTTGGCAATCATTTTGAGGTCCTTTTTGGTCATATAGCTCCCAACTGTTTCGGTTTTTTTCACTTCATTGTCTTTCAAATATTCGGCTTTGATGTTTCTGATGAAGGTAAATCCAAAAAAGCACATCGGACGCATGAAATTTATAAAGTGTTGTTTTCATTTTCCCAGCACTGCGATGCCGCTGCTGATGGACTATCAGTCTCCCGAGGGTATCATCAGCTCAGTAGTCAGTACTTCGGTACTGACATGATTTATAGCAATTGTCCGTTCATACATTTATAAATTATTAGAAACTAAGGTTTCAACTCCCTCAGGTAAAGTTGACCTTAGATGGATTTGGCTATCCCTTTTAGGTCCTTTTTGGTTATATAGCTCTTCTACTGTTTCAGTTTTACTACATGCTTGGCTTTCAAATATTCTGCTTTGTTCGTTCCTAATGAAGGAAATTCAAGAAAGCAATTCGGACCATAACGATTTATAAAGGTTCGTTTTCATTTTTTTTACAGTACTGAGTCGATACCGCTACTGGTGGACTATCTGTCCCCGAGTGTATTATCAGTTCAGAAGTCAGTACTTTGGTTGACAAGATGTATGACAAACCTTTCTTACATTGTCCGTTTAAAAATTTATAAATTATTAAGAAACTAAGATTGCACTCCTTCAAGTCCTTGGATGGATTTGGCTATTGTTTTTAGGTCCTTTTTGTCATATAGCTTGTCTACTTTACGGTTATTTAACATCCCTGCCTTTCAAATATTTGGGTTTGATTGTAACTGATGAAAGTTATCCAGAATAGCGCTATGGTCGCATAACAATGATAAAAGAGACGCGAAAGATACCAAAGGGACACTTAAACTCGAAAATTAACTGACAACACCATGGCAAAAAAAAAAGATAAATACAAAAGATAAACAACAGCACACCAAATACAACATAGAAAAGTGCAGACTGAACAACACGAACACCATCAAAAACCGAGGGTGATCTCGGGTGCTCCTGAAGGGTTAACAGATCCTGCTTCACATGTTGCACCCATCGTGTTACTTATGTAGGTACAAACCCGTTGATAAGTCTAATTCGGTAGGTCCTATAAAGTGTTGTTATCATATTTTGAATGTAGTAGATTTACATAAGCCAACATAACAACAACTTTATAAAAAAATCACAGACTTGTCGATTTGTTTATCGGTTAATGGATTCGATGGATATGAACATAGGTAAACTACTTATGTCTTTCTATTTATCCAATTTAAGTTACCAGATATTTTTTAAACAAACATTGAAGGAAGTGCAATTTCTAGTCGGAAGTGCAAAGCAATTACTGTTAAATAATTCGTTTATAATTTATAAACAAAACCTCATTGAATTTCATTTTTCACTCTTCAACAAACAAAATGTACTACCCATTGTTTAAGGATCTTCAATTAACAGCTTAGGGAAGGACCTTTGCTCATTGTAGAAGGCTGCAGTGTGACCCTTGTCCTTGTTGGGTTTTACTAGGTTCTTTTTTTGTTTTAATCAGCTCTTCTAATTTGTATTTAAATGTGGACTTTCAAATATTTTTGCCTCGAGCATGATTGTGGAGACATTTATAGTCGCAATGCGCATCTTTTGCAGTAAAATGGTACAATTAATGTTATTAATTGATCGGTATCACGTCTGTTGATCTTTGATGTACAGTTGAATATATTCCCTTTCTGATAATCACAATTAACATAGTAAAGTAGAAAGCGGAAACGCAGTGATACAGTTTACCTAACAATAATGACTGTTTGTACGGTCAGAACCGCTCGCAACTTATGAAGAAGCCAAAATTGTAAATATAGAACTTTTATTAAGTGGTCAAGTGTAGAAGGTTCAGGTGGCATTGTCGTTGATGTCTCAACAGGCTACGTTTGAACCCTGCTGAGGAAAGTATATTAATTTACAAGGGCAAAAAAATCAGTACTTACATTATTCGACTGATATCAACACAAGAGGATACATGGACTTAGCCAGATAATGATTTGGTACAACATCTTAGATTGATTTTCAATGCTCTTCAACTGCGTAATTGATTGATTTTCGAATTAATGGATTTGCTTCGAGCGCCACGAAAAAGTCTTACGTAGACGAAATGCGAGTCTCAATTTCAACATTTTGTAAATTATAAGCATGGTTTCTGTGATGAGTATTTTCAAGACGTAATCTATGAAGAAGCTCAATATCTTTATGGTCGTCAGCAGTGTCGATATCAAAGTCAGTATAGTTTAAAGCTTTTATAGGTCTCAGAAAGACGAATATCTATACTCGTGCCTACAATACAACAGAAGACGGATTTCCAAAAATGTTTGAATAGTTAAAAAAATTTCATAAATTTACATATTACATGGGGCAATTCGATAGGTCGCAAATCAACGCTAGGTACAATAAAAATATTCTTCGTGTACTCTTTCGGGATGAATTTGTTTATTTTGTTCCGTTTAATGCTCGGGCGAAGGTTTTATTTTCTCAGTATTGTTTGTTGGCGTTGATATTAGTCGGGTTTTCTTTTGTTTTGCTCTCCTTTTGGTTTTTATTTATCTCATTTTGTCTGTTCAGGTGATAGGAATCATTGTTTTTCTTTGTTTGTTTTGGGTTTTTCTATCCCATGTATTGTCTCTTGTTTATTTGTATGTAGATTTATAGTTCTCTGAAGTTGTCTTCTCTGTTCGAGGTGATTTTCATGTTCATCTTTATCCATGTATTTCTCTTTGAAAATAATTACAAAGGAGGAATTGATTATGACTAGGATTTTTAACATTGTCAAATTTAGAAATAAATGCATCCAAATAACAAAATAATGGAGAAAGCTACAACTGAAATCAGATATAGCATACTCTTTTGTTTTATATTTCCAAAGAGATGTACTTTTGTTAACAAAGAATAAATTGGGTGACGTAATACAACTAAGAGAAAAACGTAACATTGTAACTGAATAATTGTTTATCATACAATATCGTAATGCAGATTTTGTTTCTGGCTCAATTCAAATTGGAACTGCAAATAATCATCCGAATCAAATATGGTTTTCTTTTATTTGTTCTACAGAGTGCACCAATATCTGACGACGTTTTAATTGTTGCAACTATATATTTTGAGTAGAATTGAAATAATGATTTCACTCCCACAAAACAGCAATCGTTTTTTTATCTGCTAATGTTTATACAAACAGTATACAAATCCTTGATTTCATAACCCTGGGTATTTTCACTGTCAATAAATT